TTCATAAGCGCTTGTGCGGGAGTTTACTACTTGGTGAATATTTTTTTTTTAGTTATAACTATAACATAATGTAATATAAATATATAACATAAAAATAAAATATTTCTTACACTAAATCAATAATGTTCAATAACTTCTAACCTTAGATTCTACAAAATTCACCAGTTATGAATTAATATTGTGACTAACTGAAATTTTAGAAACTTTAATCGACTACGTCTCCTGCATTGGCACTCGCATGAATTGTATTATATTGCGTAAATATTATAAAACCAAAGATATACATTACAATACAACTTTTCATATCAAAGAGGTCCGTGTTTAAGATTAACTTATACTTTAAAATTTGAATTGTAACAATCCATATAAAGTATTATTTAATTTTTTTTTTTTTAAATTTATTTATTTGATTATTGATTAAGATGATGTTTAAATATTAGAAGCACAAGCATATTTTTTCATGAATTCTTAAATAAAAATGTTTTTATTAATAAATGTGATTACTTTTTATAGAGTTAATATAAAGGTATACATAAGGGTATAAATATATAATGCATCACATTACCGTACTGACTATACCAACTAGTTTGTAAAATTCCAAGTCTAATTTTTTCTCTGAATTCTGTCGAGCACGAAATTAATAATTAATATTTTATGCATTAGCTTTGATTGTATTAATTAGGTATATTTTATATTTTTATGCCGGGTTGAATGAAAAAATTATTAATTTAACGGCCCAATAAAATTTAATAGACCAATCATAGACCGATAAACCCTCTTTAAGGGATAATTTGCTCACTATTGATTCGTTAAATGTTTAGTGATTGTTCGTACAACCCGGCATTAGACTTTAATAGCTATTCAAGAAAATGTTTAATTTTCAATTTCTTTAGTTAGGGTCCATTGAATATTATACAATATTATACATTATTATATAAAAAAACCTTGTGAATAGCTTCCTCGTAGTATATTTATTTATTGTTAGTTTCAATACACAGTACATTTTTAAAAATATTTCAATTAATTGTCAGCTTTTATGGAATAGTACTTTCGATACACCTTAAGATTTATTGTGGATATTTTTTCAAAAAGCGTAGGTATACTATAGAATGAAGTTTTAAAAATTGAATTTAAAATTGAATTAAAATTCGAATGTTTAATGATGATCCAATAAAAAATTGTATAATTATTTATCAATGCCAGAAGTCGACATACATGTCACTGTGTCAGTTGTCAATACTGAATTATAAATGAAAAACAATAATATATTATAATAATAAATTATAATAGTATAATATTATAATATACCATGCTTATATTTTTGGCAAAAGTTAATTCAACATACTGTATACTACTATATTAGGTACCTATAGAAGCAATTAACTCTCCGCCTTGTTTCAATTCTTTAATTATATCCAAACCTCCAATCAATGATCTTTTACCCAAACATGCGAATTAGATTAGGTTAGGTTAGGTACAACACGTACAACACTCGAGATTTTTTTACTATTATTTTGACACTTCAAAATGTCCGACATTTTACGGAGTAAATATAAAAAATAACTTAAATGTCTTAAACAGTTATGAAGTTATAAAGTAAACTGTAAAGAAATAAAATAAATAAATACAGTTGAAACATTTATGGTTCTTTGGTCAAAAAACTTGAAAATTCAATACAAATTGTTTTCGAAGCTTTTACACCGGTTACAAGAAAACCGAAAGTTTACCGGTACAATATAGACACAACCACTAGCTGCATAAATTAATTTTACTCCTATCAAATAAAAACCATTTAAATTACATAACAAAAACTTTTATCAATGTAATTCTACATAAAATCATGACAGTATAGCCATGAGCCATCTCATTGTTTAGCGGAAAGAAAACAACTAAAAAATGATTTACATTATAATAGATTCTACACAAGTTTGAATACACAACAATATGGTATGATCATTTCATATTATATAAGTTTTTTTTTTTATTTTGAAATTATGAAATAGGTAAATGTCCAATGCCACAGAACAAAGCATTATAAATGTATAACAGAATTTAAATATTAATAACTTTCGCTTTGGATTTAATTAGAGAAAATGTTGAAACCCTCCGCACAAATTTGAATAAGTATACTCATACTTTTATATATTATACCTATTATGTGCATAAAATCAAATTTAATAAATATATATTATATAAATCGAAGTACCTTATGCAAATCCGCAAATTTTAACCAATTGGCACCAAATTTTGAACACATTCTATGGGCACTCACCACTTAAACAGGTCGTATAGGCACTTCTGAGTTTTCATTCCAGAATTCAACCCCTAAATGTTGGCTCACACATGAACTTTGTTTTGGCTCACGAACATTGAATATTTAATTGTGTAAGATACTTTTATACTAATTCAGGGTTGCCACTGGTTACAAAAAATAAAAGAGTTATTATGAACATTTATGATTTCAGGATATTATTTTCCGAATATTATATTACATAAAAATACACATTTCATTTTATTTTTATAGATTTAGTAACTAGCATGGAAAATAAGAAACTTGATATAAATATTGCTAATTATTTTAATGATAATTTGTTTTTTTTAATATTTTTTATAAATTAGTCTAAATTTATTCGACTCAAAAACAATGCATCCGAAAAATGAAAAAAAGTACAAGGTATATTACTAGGATACCTATATCGGGACTGTCATCGATAAAGCTAGAATTTTGGTGAGTTTTGCATTTTTTTCTGAAATGCTATACAGTTCTAACCAAAAACTAAGTTTGTTTTGTGATACAACAATTTAGAATGTGTAATTTTTATTTTGCATTTTCTGCATTTAATTGCATTTTTAAGCTCATTTTTACAAATATTACGTTCAATTTGTGTATTTCAACTAATTTGTTATTTAAAATTTTTTTTAATATGCGTTGTATAGGTAATCTCAATTAATATCTATAGTGCCATTATAAAAATAGTACTTTTGAACTTATTTCGGTAACAAAGGTACCATAATATTATCGCCGTTAAACCCGTTCCCGATAAAATTATTTCCGCCTATCGGCGAATGGGAAAAATTAAAAATATATTGATAAAATAATATTAAAAATCTTTTAAAACTGGTATATTTATAAGTTGTTGGCGAATTGGAATTCGGCAAATTGGTTATAAATCGAAAAGTAATATAATTAATTAAACTCACAAGTGAACTCAAATTTGAATATATTTGTTTAATTTACTTCTTAAAAAAAAATTTTACTTTTTTTGTGTAATATAAAAAATGAATAAATAATAATTAATAATTAGTCACGATATTTATTTTAAAATTAAATTTTTTTCGCTCATCCGAGTACATTTTTTGGTCATTTTTTAGAGTTTGTAGGTCATTTTTGTGTATTTTTTAGGTCATTAAAATCTTAGCTCTAGTCATCAATATCGAGATCTCTGGCAAAAGATCAAAATGTCCAAGTTCATGAATCAGATCGAAAACAAAAAAATTTGTTTTCCAACTTGTTACTTGTTAAGGTCTCCACACACTGCAGTGGTGGCGGTGAAATTCTTTTGTCTTGGCGGTGCCGCCGCGGTGGCGGTGAATTGTGTCCGGACTCTTTTTACCGGCACCGCCACCGCCACCGCCACCGCGGCAGTGTGTGGGGATCTTTATAGATACTAAAAATTTGTACGATGAAACATTGAAACGTATATGATTAAAATCCAATTAAATCGTTGTTTTTATCAATTCTTGAAATTATCTAATAACATAAGACACAGGCACACGATATAACTGCAATAAGTCGATAATTGTCAGTCAGTCGCTTTATATTTACTCGGCGGAGTATATTATACGAAAAACAAAACATCCTAACTGAAAGGGTGACAATTGATATGGTGTAATTGACTTTCTATAAGTAGGTACCAACTAGGTCGACTTTTCTACCAGAAAGAAGTTGAAGTTGAAAATCAAAACTGATGAGGTATCTATGAGGATGTAAATTTTTAATGTAATAAGAGTGACCTTGCAGATTTACTAAAAAAACACTATAGAATGTAAGCAGCGGCATGGTGAACTGAAAATATTCTAGAGGCAAGTAACATAGATGCCGAAGACCCCCCCCCCCCTACTATAAATCCAAATAAATGTGGGGAGGGGATGGCTTAACAAACCCCTGTTTGAATTTGTATCAACTTAATTACAATAATATAGTGCTCGAATATTAGTATCTTACTCATATTATATAGTCATAGTAAGTATTATACATTTACATAATACCTAAGTATAATTGGCGGGTGTTGAGTAGTGTATCTATTCGCGGGTCGCGACACCCATCCCTCAACACTCAAAAAATCCCTGAGACAATTGCCTCTGAAATCACCCTTCACCACGCCACTGCATGTAAGATTAAAATGTATTATTTTAATTTTAATAACATTAAAATATTTTTATTAAAATAAAATCAAAATATACTTCATACAATCATCACATGGATATTTATTATTTAGAAATTAGTTAGAAAGGTTATACAATATTATATATTAATTAAACACTTACATACAAATATTAAATATTTAACAAAACAATGATTTTAAAACACAAATGTCACACAAATTGGAAAAAATATTAAGTAAGTTATTTCATTTATTTTTTTTAATTTTAATATATAATATCATTGATTATACTTATTAACATGTATGTAATAATATGTATAATCAATGATAATATCTACAGACACAAGAATATTCTAATAGCTACACTACAATGTATAACAATTTCCATCTAATACCTAATCTAATCAGTAGCATTAATCTAAATCAATTAAAACTATTGATTTGAAAAAATTCAATCATCTTTCAAGTTTAATTCTATAGTTGGCCAAAGCAGTAATTAGATAAAAATCTTGATAAAAGTAGTTACACAATAAATAATAAATTGAATGTGACATCAGATTTCTTCTCTTGTATATTTTCATTTTTTAAATTCTAAAATGTAGTTTTAAGTTCATAATACAGTGATAATTTATTAATAAGGGGTTACCCTCATCAGTAATCAATCAAAATTTCCAAATTAGTAAGTTTTAGATTGCTGCCCCAGATCTACAAATATAATTTCAATATAGTATAAATCTATAGTAAAATTAAAGTTATGATAAACAGTGAAATTATGATGTAACAATTTTTCTACAGCAAAAGTTTACCTTGCATAACTTAATCATCAACTAACATAAATTCATCTAAAGATAGAAGTTTTATTAGAATTTAAATGTATAATTTAATATAAGCTAATAACTATGTAGGTAAAATGATTAAACAATAAAAATAAATTTTACTACTCAATTCCACAAAGATCATTATTTTAGTTAGTTGACAGTTTAACTCTCTTTATTAATGGAAGATCAAATATCGTCAAGAATCTTTATTTTGAATTATACAATTGAATGTTTGTCTTTATTTGAAAACATAAATAACATATTTTTAATAAATTTGAATTCTAAAAATAATTTAGATTTCTATCAAAAACATTATCTTTGCATTACAGCTGATTATTTGTATATTTTATAAGATCATAATAATTGGTTAACATCGAATATCAACTCTTGGTCATTTGATTTAAAATATTAGAATAGTAATTCTAATTCTGTACTCTCATTCAAGGTAATAGAATTATTATTAGAATCATTAATCAATCTTATTAATTGATTAATGATTTAAAATAATAGTTTGTTGGATACAAGAAAAAATTTATATTAGCTGTTTATTATTAGAGATATATTACCAAATAAAATCTCATTTTCAAATGTTCAAATATACTTATAAGATACATCTTTGTAAATAAAAATCAAATACCAATATTCAAATAATTAATCAAATACATTAAACAAATTTAAGATTTTAAACTAGTTTAACATTATTTTTATTGGTTCAGCATAAATTAGAATACCATCGACCTTAAGGCTTCAAATTATTGTCCTTCGATGTTAGAATACACATACACATTACACATATATGATAATTAATAATTTAAACCGGAATAAAATCTGGCAGTCATACTACATTCACAAAAAATAAGAATGAAGGAATAAATTCTCAATGTAAAAATTTAGTAACATATAAAAATCAAAAAATAGAATGAGAAAAAAATTACATTACAGAGAAATATTTAAATGTCGTAAAAAATTAATTTTATCAAAAAAAATCCTATTATTCCTCTAAATTAACTGGTTCACCGATGAAAGTATTGTTTAACATGCGAGTATATTTGTTCTTCAATTAAATTTTATTCATAACTGAAATCCATACCATACAACTAAAATCAAAAAAATTAAATTAAGTTTAAGTATATTAAATGTAATACATCAAACATGATAAATTATTGTATTTTTGTTACCACAAAAAGTATTAAAAAAAAAATGATTAAATATTTCATTGTAAAACCTATACATATCTTACTTGGTGTCACGTAAATACGTAGCGGTAAATTGGTTGTGGTAATTCAGGAGCGGTAAATCGGTTGCGGGTGTAATATTGCTGATGTCATTTCGGCGGGTGACTACAATACATGCTTATGCACAATACATTATACTTCAATAAACTCTCAATAATTATTGTAAATAATAAAAACAATAGTCAAAATAATTAAATAATTAACTTTGTCAACATTTAAAATACCCATCATTAATTTTTAGATATAAAATATAATACAAATCAAATTGCGTTTGATTGTCAACATAATTAATAATAAATATAAATATAATTTATAATTTTAACTGAAAATTAACAGCTATCTTACGCAAATAATTTTAAATATTAGTAGTATTAGGACCAAATGTAGAAGTTAATGAGTGAAAACGAATTGAAGAATCTTTATATTTTTTCTTCTTTGGTAATGATATTCCAAAAAAGTAACTGTTAAAAATGTTTATATTATTTTCTTTTTTCAACGCATTGATAAGTATAATTATAATTTAGGTATTATAATATAGATAATGATAATATAAGATGACCATAATTTATATATCCAACATCATGATGTTAATGTGATCTAATATAAAACTACTATATGACGTACGACGATATTGAGACCAATTTACCGCTCCTAAATATCTAAACTCAAATTATATCACAATAAATAATCATGATACTGTGATAACTATCTATTTAAATATAATTTATGGCTAAATAGGTTTATCTTCACCATTGATTTTAGTTAAACTTTTTAAACTATTAGTTAGATTAAATAATAATAATAATTGAGGAAATTTATAATAATGATTTACACAGTAACATTCCTATAACACCATTTTAAAACAATTGAACTTACAAATTTATCATCATTTTCAAGTCCCATTGAAAGAATATGTATAGTTAATCCTTTTTATTCCTAGAAAAAAAATATGATTTGGTTTGTAATTATATCTAATAAAATAAAATTATTAGGAACAATACATTATACTAAATCGGGGGTCTTCAACCCCCGGTCCGCACTGTCATAATATGCGGCCCATAACATTTGAAATTTAGCATGCATATTTTCTATTTCAATAAAATTATATATAGCGGCTAAGCTATCACTATCGGAAATATGCGATACAATAAATTGAATTACCTACCAAGATGTAAATGACTAATCAAACTTAATTTTTGTATAAAATACATATTTTTACTACTAATGTGGCCCGCAAGATTATTAAAAATTATTCGTGGCCCACTGCATAAAAAGGTTGAAGACCCCTGCACTAAATACTGGCTGAGTTTTTTTAAAATTATTTTTATAAGAAGTTTACAATTTATTCTTAATTAGAACAGTGGTGTAGGGATCATCTAACCTAATCCTAATAAGTTATAATAATCACATAATAAACAAGCTAAGTACTACCGTTGGGTGGCTTCTTACTCACGTAACCCCTTAATGCTTTGTTACCCCTATCTCACATATACTTATTGTGCTTATCTGTATAGATTGTATATTTCTTGTAAAAAAAAAAAAAAAAAAAAAAAAAATTAGAACAGTAAGCAAATATGTACAAAGTAATTTACATATTGAGGGAAGAAGCCACCCTTTAGTGACACTATCTATTTTGAGTTCTTAAGTTTCACACAATCTTCGCTTAAGCCGTCTAGGAGGATTACCTGGAATGGGCCAGGTAGATAGTTTTTTTATAAGAGGATTAGAATGAAGAGGTAGTTTGGTGTGAAATCTTTTGTAGTAGCATTTTGCTTCATCAAGTACTGTTGCTATTTTTAGATCATTATAGAGTGTGAGATTGGAAGCAAAGGGAGGGGCATTTGTTACTTTTCTTAGAGAGATATTTTGAAAAGCTTGAATTTTTTGTATGTTCGATTTTTTAGTACTGCCCCAGTATTATTACCTGGCCAGCATTATTTGGTCACAAAATGGAAAAAAAAAGCAATGTGGCAATCCTGTGAAACTGGAGAGGTATTTCAAAAAAAATAATTGGAGGTTAATTGCCTTAACGGGAAAATAGAACATTCAAATTCAGTGTTAGCATTCTTATTAAAAAGGGAAAATTAAGATGTGGTAATACACAGAGGAGAATGGGGTATAAGGAATAACAACAAAAAAATTGTGAGATTATAGTATTATATAAATGTTTTGTATCAATCTTTTTTTTAATAATATTACATTGACAACTTGTTATTACTAATATTATTTTCAATAAAGTTATAAAGCTGCATTTCTTAGAAAATTTGCTTTGTACTTTCATCTCTGAATTTTTACACATTAACAAAACAAGTACATTTTACAAGCTAGTATTTTGTTCTTAACAGTGTTTATTTATTTTTTAGTATACATTTAAACAGCTAACTATACTCTGTTTAAGATAAGAACAGACCCCGTTTTCGTCGGCGGCAGTTAGACACTTCCTTTACCAAATCTACAAGGGTAGTTGAGGCCAGTGCTTTGGAACAAAGACATGCCCAGCTCAGAAGCTGTCCGCCGAGGTCTGTTTTTATCTTGAACGGAGTATAATCTCTATTAGTATTGTAAAATTTTATTTCAATCAAGGATTTTGATTATTATAATAATATAAACAGAATAAATATCCACTAATACCTAGCTGTATTCATTTTAGTGAAGTCTTGAATCAAATAAAATATGTTAGCAAATGCAGATAAATTAATTTAGATTCTAGACTCTACAAATCAAGAGTATTAAAAAATAATATGATTGTGATAATTAAATAATTGGGAGCTACCAATAACCCAAAGTTAACATAGGCAACTAAATAACTTTTTTAATCATTTTATTTCTAATTATAAGTTATAAATATATTTTCTTACGATAAATGTTGTATATCATTTGGAGATAATCGTTCAAGCAAGACATAGGAACGGAACAATCTTCCACAATCACCTAATAAAGTCAAAAAGTTCAGTGACACCATATTATTATCACTTTCTTCTTCGTTTGGTTCTTCCGATCTAGATTCAATCAAGTAGTAAGCATTTCTTTCTGGTTTCAGTCTACATAAATAAAAATACACAAATAAAAATGTATCACAAATGTTTAAAACTCTCCAATACACATTTAATTGAGAGTTATAATATTCCACAAAGAATAACCAAGATTAAAATTTATTTTTAATAATAATATTTAGTGAATCTTATATTGCATCAATATAGTGATATACTTAAATATAGTTAAGTAAGTAACAGGAATGTATATCAATTAATATTTATTAATGTATAATATTTTATTTTATTTTTATTATTAATAAACGGGTAAGGACCCTATAGAAGATTTTGATAATAGTACAGTGTAATCTTAGCTGTATCGGTGTATATTAGCTCCTTATGAGTTAATGTTATTAAAATATTATTTTATTTTATTTTGTAACTAATGCCATTAATATCCAATATGTGATATATAATAGATCAATTAATGATACATTGATACATAATATTCATTTATTTATTGTTCCATTAAAAGCAGTATTAGGTAATAACATTGTAATTTCATCACATTTTATTTAAATTAAAGCAACTGTAACAAAATTACTTTTTAAAAGTAATTTCTATGAAGTAATATATTATTATTAAAATAATAAGTTATGAATATAGAATGTACGACAAAAACTAGGGGCTAGGAAATTCGAGAAAAATTAAAAACCAATCAAATTTATTTACGATTTCATAAGTTTAAGACAATATATTTAAAATTCTAGGAATTAATAACTATACATTTTGTTTATGTTTAATGCATAAAATTAAATTATTGACAATATATCCACTACTTATTAGTCATTTAGGACAAATGTTGTATTACATTTTTAAAAAAAGAAATGTTTTTATGTAATGCCCTACTTTTTGAATGAAAAAGCAAAGTAAAGTGAAAATAATGTCGGGTAAAGCGAATTATAATTTAAATAAAAATAGTTAGTATAAAGTGCAAGAGCACCCATTATGTTACCCCCAGGACAAATGTGAAATGGTAGTAATTTTTACTGATGATATTATACTTACATAGGTACATTGTTTATCTATGTTATATATCTGTTTTCTGTTATTTAATTAAAGCAATTTTGTTAAATCTTAGTTTTTATGATATTGTTACCCCCCCCCCCCTATGTTTGGATTTATGGGTAACGTTGATAATGAGTAATATAATTTTACTACCTTTTAACATCCAACATTGAATAAAATATAAAAACTCAGAATATTGTAGGAACACATTTTAACATCAATTTAAGACATTGATAATAATCTGACTCTAATGCAAATATGCAATAGAATACTCGGTTAAGACCGAGAGCTGTCAGCAATAAGCTAATAACATATAATAAAGATACCTTTTAGATAACTACAGATATTCCGCAAATCTCTATAATTCCCGGTATCTTGTTGCATACGCTTTACCAATTACATTGTCACTGAAATACCTACATCCTCTATCGTTTATACCACTCTATATTTAAATAATATTATATTCAAAGTGATTTTAATGACATATTAAATAATACTCAAAGTTGAGTTGTACTACACATGTTTAGCCTCCACAAACTTTCAATCCTTCGAGTATGTGCATTAAACACAAACAATGTAATTGAGTGGTAGAGCCCATCTGACAAGATAATCATAATTATTTTATTTTAAATGATTAACATAATATATTGAATTTTTGTACAATACAAAGTTAGTACCTACAATTAATGAAATTAAAATTATTATTAAAATCATACTAACTTGTAGCCATTAATTTCTTCTAAACTGCAACGCTCCAAACGAACATAAGGGATTTTTAATTCATCAGTAGAAGATTCAATTTTGATTTTGTCTGTTTTCATTCTGTAAATAAATTGTAGATAACAATTTATAAAATAAAAATAATAAATACTTAAGACTAAAACCGCACACTATTACTACATAAGTAATGAAAACAATAACTATTAATTAATGATAATTTGCTTTTTTATTTGATAATACCTAGGTTAATTCACTCTAATAGCATTGGTTTAATTTCCTCATAACAATGATTTGTTCAATTAATTAAAACTGTTATACCTATTTAGGTTCTAGTACCTATAATCTATATTATATTATATGTTATAAATACTTTTAACAATTATTATTTGATTAATTAGGTTTTTAATAAATTGGTGGAAGTAATACTATCGTGGTTCCCAACTCAGTTAGGCTAATACTACACAGGAAAAAAAAGGTATTTAGATACTTTCATTTATGCTCTTTAGAAATTCTATAAATACAGGTATGGTAGTGGGGTATAGGAATATTATTTTAGCAAAATATTATTAATACAGGAAAGGCCAATAAAGCAAATGTGCTGAGACCACAAATGTAATATTGTAATATAACGCCATTGTCACGATCCTCTCACACTGATAAGCAACAATCTGAACTCTGACAATTTAATTTTGTATTTATTTAATTTACCTTCTTTTTTTGAGAAATTACATTAGATTTGAATTCAACTGAAATCGGTTGATTTACGGAATAAAATAAAATAGCACAGTAGTCTTAATGACTCTAAAAATCTTGTTTTAGGTTATTTTATGGAGTTTTAGTTTCTCAAGATGCAACCAACGGCATAATAATATATGCTAACACAAAAAAAATGAGTTAAGTTATAACTTATAATATTAAAATTAGCACTAAGCATAACAAAGACCAAATTTATAAGGCAAGCTATCTAAAGGAAATTCATGTTTAAAATACGATTAGCCACCTATAAGCTTCTAACAATTTTATACGTAATTTTGGGCTACTGAATATGTAAATGAGTCGATATATACCAATCCTGCCCTGAGCATAACAAATGTGTTACAGGGTGGAGCAGTGGCATGTAACATAGGGCCCAACAGGCGTGCTCAGAAATTTTGAATGGGGGAGGCTTAACTTTTTTTAATATAATACAATCAATACCTATACGCTATGAATTAAAATTATAATCATATGTCAATACTAAGTACATAGTATATTAGTTAGGTGTACATGGAGGAGATTGAACCCACTAACCGCCCCTGAGCACGACCATGGGGTCAAAGTGTTGTGCAGGCCACCTTAAATATGCAAGGAAGAGTATTAATAGAAGAAAAATATTACATTTTATAGGTCCATATAACAACATTATGAGCAGTAAGTCACCTAAAAAGTAAAAATTAATTGAGCAACATCAATTTGCTTATGATACACGCCCCTGATGTAGTATAAGGGGTAGGGAAATCTCTTTTCGGTATGTATACAATTTAAACATGAACCAAAGCCTTCTCTAGAATTTTGATCCTGTTATATTATTTGTTCATAACAATATAAGATTGCGTCGAGATAATAACCTATGCGGTCTGAGAAGAAATTACTACAAGTACGGACTTCGAAACTCGCAAGTGAAGTCCACCAAATTTAAGTTCCAAAATGTACAAGGTTTTTAATTGGTACCAACTTACTTGGACGGTTGTTGGTCACTGAAATTATAAACGAGTCGTTCGAGAACCACAACACAAATTATGTACGGCGACGAATTTTCTATTGTGCGAAGTACTTTAATTTTAACGGCTGATATATGTGATCGACAGCTGCGTATCGTAATTCCCAATCCCAACAACGACTGACCGCTGAGGCTCTGACTACTGATTAGTGATTACTGAATAGCGACAATCCACAACAGTAAAACAAAAATAGTTTATATCATTATTTAGTTATTGGTTTATCCTTCTACACAAATAATATTATTGTCCAATACGGTTATACTATGTTACGGCTACACAACTTACTCCTATTACTTTATTTATTTTACTGTTAACACTGTTAACACTTTACAACAATAATAACAACAATATTGTGCAAATAAGTCTACAATCCAATATTCCCGAATTCTATCCAAGACGTCCTATAAACCTGGTACAAACGGGTACCTATTATCAACGATGATAATATGTATAATAATACACCGTAGAAATAGAACTTAATTCGAGAATTTAAATATAATCTTTTCTGTATCCTACATCTGTAAATTGAAAATATATAAATATAATCTATAATTATTACTTATTAGATCTCCTCTGACCCCAGCTGCTAGTCAGAATACATTCAATTATTTAATTTCTCAACTACAATTCACTCATCGCATAGAACAATGATAAAAACTAAAAAATTGCAATTAATGGTAACGCTGTATATTCCGTTCTACAAACCGTGGTATCCAGCTACCAGGTCCGAACCTAACCACAGAACAATTAAATAGATAAAAGCAATAAAAGATACTCAATTATCGTGATATAAATATTATTATTTTCGTTTTTTATAGTTACTGATGTAAACATAAAAATTAAGATAATAATATAATATAATTAATTCTTCTTTTTATTCATAAATATTAATAAGAATTAAGAGCTCTATTAACAGTTTGGACAGTGAAAACTGGTAACTGGAAAAGCACTATTTTGATTTGTATACAATTATGTTCAATTAAACACCTACTTTTTTTTGTGTGTATTAAAGTCTTTGTTATTGTATAAGATGTCGGCCAACACAAGTACCCGGGATAAATTACTTGGTTTGCTCGATGACTTCGAACTTTTAAGCAGGTAATGTTAAAATTAGTCTTTCGGATAACTTAAAATTTATACAGCATATTATTTGTATTTAAAATTAAATGTATTACAATATAAAGATTTTTTGTACTCAACTATTCAAAATTCGAATTAAAACTGTTAATATCGACATTTCCTTTTGCCTAAATTTTAACTGGAATGGTTCTTAGATTAAAAAAAAAATTTCAGCAAGATTTGTTGGTTATAAGATTTTCAAATAAACCTAGAAAATTCTTCTAAATTGTGTATTGTATAACACAAGTTTGCATGGGTAACTGAATAAAAATATGGGTAGTTAATATTATTTTTTGTTTGCATTTCTTTTAGTTTTATTATGTATATTAAACAAGTTTATTCATGTTATTTTACAACGTTGAATATAGCTGATTGTTTACCATATTCTGTAAATTATATGCAAAATGCTAACTATACGGAAATTTAATAACAGTGAGTGGCATAAATATTGTTTAAATGATGATATTACATTGATACTTTATAAATATCTACTAAAATTGTTTAACCTTAACTCTTTATTTTAAAATTCTAATTCTTAGAATCCTTTATTTAAAATTATGTAGAGAGCTGATTGAAAATTTGAGTGCTGGGCGACAACAAAAGATTAATGTTCAACATCAGTTACTCCTTACAGAGCAACTTGTAGCCACAGATAATGAAATAAAGGCTACTTTAAAAGTTGCAGAACATCAAGCAGAAGTAGAAAAAAAAGTAAATGCTATTAAGGAAGAAATAGAAACACAAGACCAACATATTACACAAATGCAAAAACATTTCAAAGAAGCAGAAAACATATTGGTAACTATACTGTAACTATCTTATCTTGACATATAACAGTAACAATTGATTTATCTTTTTAGGCTACAGCTTTATTTCAAGCAAAACAAAAATTACAATCCATCAATAAAGCAAGTAAACATCCTGTATCTTCAGAAGATCTCATAAAATATGCCCACCGAATAAGTGCGTCTAATGCAGTGTGTGCACCACTTACATGGCAACCGGGTGACGCACGTAGACCTTATCCTACTGGTAATATTATAACCCATATATTGTAATTTATAACATATTATGTTCCATTTTACTTAGATGGCTTACCTATATTTCAGATATTGAAATGCGAATGGGATATTTGGGAAGATTGAGTGATCTGCCGCTTAATGGACATAATATAATGCAGCCTCAAGGTCTGGCTGATATGGTGCGATCAAATAATCAAATAGGTATATCAGAAGTTATTTATTGAAAATTATATTTTAGAATTATTTTGCTTAAGATTAAAAATTTTCTTTGATTGGTGCTTATGATATTTATCAATTTTTAACAAAATAAACCCATTGTTGTTCGGATATTCTAATGCATATAAAATTTACCTTGGATTTAATTAGTTTTATATTTTTTGTATTTCAATTAGGTACGTATTAATATATATATATATATATATCTTATTTATTGAAATACAAAATATATAAAACAATTAAATAATAAATCTAAGCTAAATTTAATATGCATTATAATATCCTGGGTCTAATTATTTTCTTACAGTAGTATATTATATTAATTAAAAACAGTTACCTCAGCTGGATACTATTTATCTATTACTTAAGCTAGGTTTTAAATGATTTATTTTCAATGTAGACTATCTCTCTATATGTTTTCAATGATTAAATAATTGTATTAAAAAATTATGTATTAAAAAATTATGTATTCTATAAATTTGAAAAACGGTTAGTACTTCAATTCGATTGATCCACTATTTAAATATAATATACAAAAGGATCTTATATTATTATTTGTTATTTTTTTTTTAATTGTTGCATTGTTATTGAGTTAAAATATTAGGTATCCTCGTTTTTCATATCTTAGTTAATATTTTGTTTGATTTGCAGTTTCTTACTGCACTTTACACTAATAATTAATATTCTACATAATATGTACTATTGATAAGTATTGCTAATATATCTATAAGCAATGATATTTTATCAATTCTATCACTGTGAATCCAAAAAAGTGAACATTGCCTGTATAAATATTATTTGTTTTAATAATTTAATCTAAAACTAAAACTGAACAGTCTTAATCTTACGAATTTAAAGGCTTTATAAATTATATTATAGTATAAATAAATCAAATATTAAATTCTTCATACCTATATTATGTCTTACTTAATGTTTTAAATATAGTTTTTATAGTTTATAGTTGTATATAATAATATACCATTGATTTAAATAAATTAAAAAAAACATTATTCTGTTCCGAGTTAACTCTTAGAACAAATTATTTTCCGAATATTAAACAAGTAAATTTTGCAGTAGTAATACAATAAGGCCATAAACCATAAACAGTGATTTTTCAGGAAATCAAGTTCAATGATTTTTGATAATTATATCATTGACTCATATAAATAATTGAATATTGTTTCGACATTCATGGCTGTGTATAATATGCAGGATTAAAATATGAACTCAGGAATACCATTATGGCAATATCTAACATCACTTTTTAAATTTTACTTATGGCCTTATTGTACTGATAGTAATATTAAATATATTTTAAAATGTAATTTATTTACTATGTATTTGTATTAAAATAAAACTCAATAAATTAATACTATTTGATTTAGAACATTGTGAACTCATAATTGTTATTAAATTTGGGAAGACATAATCCTATTATGTATACAACTTAAATGTAAATTCATAAATACTGTCTTGTAAAATTACACACATTTAGTAGTGACCATAAGAAGATTTTATAACTTGAGTTTAAAGTAACCTAATGTTATGTTTTATAATTTTTCTGTATTAATCTTTAAGTTGTGAACAAATTTGTAAAAAAAAAATTAAAAAACTAAAAAATCAATTTAAAAAAAATTCAATATTTGACTAATATAAATAATATTATGTTCAAAATATATTTATTTAAAAATAATATTCACATTCTTAAAGTTATATATATGTACATTTTATAATAGTATAGTAAACTAAATTAATGGTTGGAAAGTTTGTTAGTTTGCTGTTCATTATATTTGGACTATATCATTAGAAATACATTTTAATGTGCCTTTTTATTTAAATATTTTAGTTTTTTTTTTAAACTAATAAAAAAACAACATTTCATTTTTAGATCGTCAAGCCTCTCAGCAAAATCAGTTTGCTTGGCATTCAACCGGTGATATGCACTTAGGAGTTGGTAGCGGAGTCATAGACACTAGAAATCATTCTAAAGATGTTGCAGAAGATGTTGAAGTTATGTCAACAGATAGTAGCAGTTCTTCGTCCAGTGATTCTCAATAGTTATAAAAATAAAAAATAAATACAAATTAAAAAGTGGTGATAATATTATTATGTTTACGTATCACATTTTAAACATTTTCTATCAATCGTATTTGTACTGACTGAGCTTAGTAATACACAAAAAAAAAATTAAATAAAAATAAGAATAAGAATTTATCAAATACAAAAATTATAAGATGTGGTTATATTTATACAAAACAATGAGTTGCTTAATGACTCATGAATCTGTGACATTTGGATTTGTGTAGGTAAACCCATCAAATTGAGACTGATCCATCGACTGAAGTATGGTTTTATCAACAGGTGTCAGTCTCGGTTTCTCTTTTGTGAAGTGTTTGTCAAAATAATGAGTATCCAAGGGATGATACTTAATTTAAAAAAAAAAATTGCATTACACGTCTTAAAAAAACATTTTTGACTGCCAGAAATAATTATCATTGGTACTTACAACTCTAGGCATGTATGGAGGTTCTAACTCTCGTCTCTCCAATTTACACCAGTCCATTGAACTGAAAAATGGATGTCTAATCACATCCTCAGCCGAATGGTTAGCTTCCAAAGACCCTAGTCGTTTAGTAGCATCTTTATCTAGTAACTATATGTCCAAAAAATCATGCAATGAAATAACAGTTTGAAAACATGGACAAATCTAGTCAAGATAACTTACAGCTACCAGAACAGATTTAGAATCGACCGACAGGTATCTTGGATACTGAGGTTGTTCATTGCATATAGACCAAAACAGGGCGTCTTCGTCACAACCACTGAATGGCGATTTGCCAACCAACATCTCATACAGCAGAATGCCAAAGGACCACCAGTCTACACTTTGGTTGTATTTCTGGCCTTTAATTATCTATATAGTCGATCAACGGTGAGAATGTGCGATTAAACGCAGTTATACCTGCGACGCAATATATACAAATAATATTGTCGTAAATGTCTTACCTCTGGCGCCATATAATCTGGCGTGCCACAAAATGTATCCGCTGTTTTGTCCAAGTATATCTGAAGTTTGCACATTCCAAAATCAGCGATACGCACGTGACCGTTGAAGTCTAACAAAATGTTGTCCAACTTCAAGTCCCTGCGATTCGAGTATTAAGAATTATAATTAAAAAACAACAACTTTTTAAGGGTTTTGATATAGGCAATCATTAAGAATAAATAAGCGATTTAAATACATTTTTTTTCAATCGTAAAATTGTTGATTGTTGAGTATGAAAATTTAAAGCGACATCACATAAAAATGTGTTTAT